AATGCTTACTGGGTTATATCCTATCTTCTTTTGTCTCTCATTCTTTTGCATATTTTGGAGTTTGACAGCTGAACTCCGCCATTTAATTTGCTTATGCAACCAAAGTCAGACGCATGATTTTGAAGGTGTTTTTATTTAATGAATTGTGATTAATTGGTTAATATTAAAGTCGTAAAGCAAGTTATAACTAATCGAGTAAAGTGTAAAGTGGAGGGGAATACAAAAATGTATTGGTGAAGTGGCTGCTTTAAGGAGAATAGGAGTGATAAATGTACGCAAATTTCCGAATTTTACAAAAAAGGGCATATTTCAAACCCAATTTGTAAATAAATTAGTGACCAAAATTTACAAAAGTGAGTGTTAAAATAATGCGCAGACCCTTGACTACAAGTGTGTGGAATTTTTTTTTAGATCGGGCCACCCCTATGGACGGAATAGCCCGAAATAGCTGTGAGTGCTACTAAACCCCACCCCTAAAATTTAGTAGGTTATAAAACTGCATATCTAAAAATTGCGTCAAATAATTTTGCTGAAATTGGTCGAATTTTCCCAAATTTTTACACACTTTTAAATTTAGACTTACATGGCTTTTGTTAGATAGGGAGCTATACTTTCATAAACAAAATAATAAACCTTAAATAAACAAAAAAAATAGCAAAAACTTGTTAAAGTGTCGCATCCCTATTTATATTTCCGCCAACATACAGTTGTTTGTAATTGAAATTTTTACTATGTTTTTATTTACATATTAACCGACTTCAAAAAAGGTGGAAGGTTATCAATTAAAGAATGGCGCAAGTATATTTGCCGCATTACGTTCAATAAGTACTTTTTGCATTGAATTCTCTCACAACACTTTGTTAAGCTGGAACTCCATAGGCAAGCGTATTGGAGATTCGTTGGCATGCGCTTACGTGCGTAAAAACTGAGCAATTCCATAGTGCGCGCTTACACGCATTTGTCAGTTGTCATTTCAATAAGTTGATGCAGTATACATACACATTTTTACACATATTTATAAAGAAAGTACATATGTACCAAGCCGCAAAAATTATCGATCAAAATATGTAGGTGTTGGTTGCCTGCGCAAGCAAATGCATGAAATGAAACTGTGCGCATTCGAATGCGTATTCGAATCCATGTTCGAATTTTTGTCGTACTAATGGAGTTTATCCCATAAGAACATGTGTATGCAACTCAGCTGTCAAACGCACGTATACGTATACGTACGCATACGTATACGTTCGCATACGCTTTCCTATGGAGTTCCAGCTTTACTCTTTATCCGCATAAATACACTGGCTGCGTTTCTTTATACATTCCGGATAATCCGAATTCACAGCCGGAATAAACAGAATGCGTTTGAAATATACGTCAACATATCATTAGGAACGTTCTAAAGAATAAAGGCATCCACACACCTATGCGATTCTGTCGCAACGAATCCGCACTGTTTTTGATGCTACAGACGTTACTGCTTCGATAACGTAAGTACGCATCAAGGCACATTGAACAGGTAGTATCAGTATAGCAGCTGATTTGGTTGTTTTTTTTTCAAATTATTTTGGCTCGAAAATGTCAAATATTTTTCATTTCTTTTCACAAAAATTCTAAATTGTTCAAATGTATTTGCATGTGAAACCTTTTTCCATACAAAACAAGCGATTGAATAGGAACTTTTGGAACACTCGCCCAACTCAGCAACATAACCGTTGATTACTGGGCATTGCAAAGGATGGATCTATGCTTCGAGAAGCAAACAAATCTAGTAAGAAAGAAAGTTGCAACAATTTTCATTTTTTCCTATTTAAATTTTTAATTTTTTTGTATTTCACATGGCATGCTTTGATTTAGAAGAAAAAAAATGAGAACAGTTTTTGACACTTTCGATACCAGAAGCAACAACAAAATACACGCAAATGTTGTTTTTACTCTAACCTTTGATCTTACCTCTTTGATAGGCCTTGGTACGGACACATCTGTGCGTAGTAAAATCTGTCAATTTATAGACAGACAAAAAATATTAAAAAAAAACTTAACTTTTCTTCATCAAAACGTTCAATTTTGTTAAAATCCTTCTATTGACCTTTTCGTTCTCAAAACCCGGAGTCTGCGATTTCGGCACAACCAAAAGAGGAACTGAATGTTCGAATAAATCGCTGCAGCAAAATCGCGTAAGTGTGTGGTTCCTCATTTAAAACTATGGTCAGCATTGTTGTAAACTTTGTCGGAACAGATTCGTGCCGTACACATTTTTAATTGATATAAATGATAAAGAATTGAAAATTATAAGACGCATGATACAAATATTAGCAGAAACTTTTGCGCGTGGTTCTGGCCTTCAGTGGTATTACCATATGTGTATCAGTGGAGCAACGTTTGGACGCATCAGTGGAATATAACATATACATATGAAGATATATATTAAAAGCAGAGGAATAACCTGGCGTTAGTGAAAACCTGCCAACCTACCCAAAGTTAAAAAAAAGGTTTAATAAATTCATAGATTTCAGTTCCGGAAAACTGAAATCAGCAAAGGCGAATATCTTCTATACACTACACTACGGCTGCATTTCTTTATCATTCTGAACGTTTGGAATAAACTTTCTTGTTTACTTATTGTTTAGAACGTTCCTGATGATATGTTAACGTATATTCCAAACGCATTCTGTTTATTCCGGCTGTGAAATGGGATTATCCGGAATGTATACAGACACGCAGCCTACATGTTTGGGTATACATATGTAAATACAGATACCTACATATTTTGATAGACAATTTTTGCGGCTTAGTATGTATTGTATCGAAATGACAACTGACAAATGCGTGCACGCACTATAGAGTTGCTCAGTTTTTACGCACGTAAGGTCATGTCAACGGATCCAGCATACGCACGCATACGCTTACTTATGGAGCTCCAGCTTAACTAACTTGCCGCATAAAGGCCCGTCCACATAGAACTCTGGCGTTCCGTTGGCGTTGGCGTCGCTTCAACAGCTGACTATGAATACATGAATTCAAATGCAGCCGTCCACATAGCCAAAATTCGACAACGCTCTCGCCAACACAAAGCAAAAAGGTGGCCAACTCTCAACTTTTCGCGTGCGTCGCTTGTAAGCTGTTGCAAATAAATAAAATTATGTGGAGTATTTTTCTTTTTTAGTCAAGTGCGGGTAAGAAATATCGTTTTTAATGCAATTATTGATATGAAACATAGGCTGCGTTTCTTTATACATTCCGGATAATCCCATTTCACAGCCGGAATAAACAGAATGCGTTTGAAATATACGTTAACATATCATCAGGAACGTTCTAAAGAATAAGTAAACAAAAAAGTTTATTCCGAACGTTCAGAATGAATAAAGAAATTCAGCCATAGATTTATCTGTCATGAGTACGTTATAGGGATGGCAAAGTCGACTTCGACTTTCGACCAAAATCGACTTTTTACTCCTGAAAGTCGAATTTTAGTGATCGACTTTCAGTTTATGGAAGTCGACTGTAGTCGACTTTTCACTTTCGACTCTCGAATTTTTTAATTTATTTGCATATAAAAACTGATCTAACAAGGGCGCGGAGCATGATCCAATAATTAAAGGTTTGCTCATTATTGACATTAGAGTTTTGACACTCCCTTAGCTCCCTTACAAAAGCTTTGCACACACACACGAACGAACGAGCGAGAAAACTGCTTTTTGAGCAAACCTTTTATTATTGAATCATGGGCGCGGAGTGCTGTTTGGTCGTATTTAAAAAAAATTGCCAATAACACTGAAGTGAAATTTGAAAAGTGTGGTAGAGAAACGAATTTTAATGACCGTACAACAACATTGCCAAATCATTTAAGAGCAGCGCATAAAATTACTATACGAAAACAAATTCCTCAAATTTGTTAATCGTTTGTCTCCACAATCTTCAGTTACTTGCTGTCTCCACAGGCAAAAGTTTTTATCTTGATAATGTTATCAGGCAAAATTTTGCCCATGGAGACCGCATATTGCTCTTGGCAAGCAATAATTATCAGAGCTTTTATCTTGGTAAATATTGCCAGCAATTTGGTACTTTGACAGCTACATTTTCATTTGCGCGATAGCTTCGTGGAGACAACATTATCGATATTTCAATATAAAAGCAAAAATTGAACTGTTTTCTATTAAAATATGTGTTATTATTTGCTTGGGTGTGAAATAGCATATTTTTTAAACTTTTTAATTGATGAAATCCGGCAAAAATTGCCATCTTATAAATGCTTTTATCAAGATAAAAAATGCCCACGCACAAATATTGCCGCTGATAAAATTTTTATCAGGCAATAAAAATGACAGTTGGTAGGCAAAAACTTTTGCCTGTGGAGACGGGCCTTAAGAAAATGTGAAGCAAAATCTAAACTCAACAGATCGCTAAGTTCTTTAAAGTTCTGCTAACTTCTGGGTAATGGAATACATACAAAATACATACAACGTACATACGAAATTACAGTTTGAAGTTTATGCGAAGTTGTGCGAAGTTATGCGAAGTATGCATAATCAGACTATAAGTGGCCAAGCATTCGCTGCCAAGCGTTCATTGTAGCAAGCATACTTTTAACGTGCGTTCTGTCAAACTAACGCCAACCCCAAAGCCAACGCGAAAGTTCTATGTGGACCGGCCTTAAGCACCGTTGACGATGGCAATGGCTTTGACGGTGTCTGTGACGCAATGGACGTTGTGTACTTTCGCTTTAAAACTATCGATAGTACGATCGATAGTGTGAAATCTCTAATGCGTATAAACAAATCCGCCATTGTGAATAACAACGCTAGAGGATTTTTCGGCAGGCTAGTCGCTGTGTATTGATATAGTCGGCGCGGAGCTTTGTGAAATATTTTAATTAAACATAATTATTCATAATTAAATTCACAAATAAAATGACTTGTCGATTGTGCTTAGATAAACCGGCAGAGGTTATGCAAATTTTCGACGAAAATGGTGGATTAGTTGAAGGCGGTGCCATAGAAATTATAGAGAAATACTTCCAAATCCAGGTAACTTTATTAAATTCTACTTATCAACAGTTTATTAATAACGAATATTTATCATCAATGACAAAAATCTAGATACAGTTCAGGGACGAAATCTCGAATAAAATTTGCTTGGTTTGCTGGCGTTATCTTAACGAATTCCACAAATTTTGGTTAAACATTAAAGAGAAGCAACGCATACTGCAAATCGCTCTTGATTGTACTCGGATTCAAGGAAAGGCGACAGAAGACGATTCATATGCACAAAAAAATTCAACAATTGACAGAAAAAATGATATATTTTCTGAGCCTGAGTTAAACATAGTAGATATTAAGAATGAACCCAACTTAGCTGAAGAATTTGATGATGATTGTATGAATGAAGATTCCCCATTATTGTCTCCACAAGCTTCCGATGGTAAGTACCAAGAGCTAATTTTGTTTTTACCCAGCAAACACTTAGTCACTTGGGAGCCTATTTCGTATTGTTTACCCTCATAATGGGCTTGCTTTAAAGATCGAAGTAAACGTGTTTTCCTTCCTGCAAAGGTAGACCTAGGGGATGGAATTTTGACCGTGTGAATTAAGGCCGCCTTATTTGTTAGGTGGCCTAATTTCATTTTTTGATCGCGGCCTAACTTCACTTTCCAAAATGAATTATTTCGGCGCGGCCTAACTTCATTTTTTTATTGCGGCCTAATTTCATTTTATGATCGCGGCCAAATTTCACTTGGTAAAATGAATTATGCCAGCGGGGCCTAATCCCATCTTTTGATCGTTTTGAATGGCAGAATTAAATTACCCGCATAAAATCACAAAAAAATTTTTTTTTTCATTTGGTCGACAATTCAAACCACAAAATAAAGAAAGATGTTCCGCGCACCTCTTCTTCGGCAATACAGCAAAGCTACTTAGTGAGAGTTATAATCCCCAAGCGCGGCCGATGGCCGCATACGCAGAATGGTGTTCTCTGCAAAAGGTCTTCAGCCGCTTTTCTTCGGCAACACAGAAAGGCGAACTCTACTTAGTGAGGGTTATCCCTATGCGCGGCCGAAGGTAATAAGGCCTTAAAGGTAATAACTTGTACTTTCTAAATAATAGGTCCATTCAATATCAAAAAATTGGTCCGAATTGTTACTAGTACTTGCAAGCTTTTACTGGAAATACATTCAATAACCCAAAATATTTGCAAGAGAGAGCGAATTCTAGAGCGTAACAAACCGAGACAGCTGCAAATTCAAGGCCAACAACTGTGCCAAGTTTGGAAGAAATTGGTGCAGCGGTTACCAAGATATGCACATGTAACCATAAGTGGGCGTGGCTACGCCCATTTTCCAAAAATTTATAATATTCTTATTTTTCGTCTGAAAATTATTACAAATGTCAATTTTGAGTGAATAATCTTCAGTAGTTACTAAAATATCGCAGTTTTCGTATTTCTGGAAATTACCGTTATATGGGAAGTAGGCGTGGTTATTGTCCGATTTTTTAAATTTTCGTCCATTTAGTATGCTGTACCAAGGCCAACAACTGTGCCAAGTTTGGAAGAAATTGGTGCAGCGGTTACCAAGATATGCACATGTAACCATAAGTGGGCGTGGCTACGCCCATTTTCCAAAAATTTATAATATTCTTATTTTTCGTCTGAAAATTATTACAAATATCAATTTTGAGTGAATAATCTTCAGTAGTTACTAAAATATCGCAGTTTTCGTATTTCTGAAAATTACCGTTATATGTGATGTGGGCGTGGTTATTGTCCGATTTCGCCCATTTTCAATACCAACCTACCTTGGATTAACAGAAACCTACACACCAAATTTCGTTGAGATATCTCAATTTTTGCTCTAGTTATCGTGTACACGGACGGACGGACAGACGGACGGACAGACAGACATGGCTTAATCGATTTCTCTATTCATTCTGAGCATATATGTATATATTTGTCTATATCTATCTCGATTCGTTTTGGCTGTTACAAACAACCGTTATGTGAACAAAATTAATATACCCTTGTGCACAAGTGCGCTCGGGTATAATAAACACAACAAACGTTGTGCATATTAAATTTACTCAGTTTTTCGTTGTATACTAGCATTAATAATAATATTTGCAATAAATAACTCAAAAAGGCCATATTTTCTTTTGTTTATTTACAAACATGTGTTTGTGATCAGCTGATTTTCTTACTTGCAAGTTTTAGCTGGGAAAAATTTTTCAGCTCTCTTTCACATTTTGCTCTCTCAATTTCCCCTACTTTGCAAGTTTTTTGGGTACGAGAATGCAAAACCAGCAAAAGTTTTCTAAAACTTCAGATAGTTGGGCGTACGAGTACACTCCTATAATTAGAGAAATGAAAATATGGATGAAAAATTTTAATCTATTGTATATTTTTTTACTTTTAAAAAGAAAATTGCGCGCCCAAAACGACATTTACCGAGGCAAAATGGGAATATAAAATAACAGAATCTGTGGGGTTTTTAAATAAAAGAAATTATCCCAAGATAGTTATCAGGAGAAAGAAGGGCGGCTGAACACCTTTAGCAGAGAACACCTATCTACGTAGGCGGCCTTTGGCCGCACTTAGGGATTATAACCCTCACGAAGTAGAATTCTCTTTCTGTGTTGCGAAGAAAAGGCACTGAACACCTTTTGCAGAGAACACCTTTCTGCGTAGGCGGCCTTCGGCTGCACTTAGGGATTTTAAACCTCACAAAGTAGAATTCTCTTTCTGTTTTGCGATTAAACCCAATTTGTAAATAAATTAGTTACCAAGAATTACAAAAGTAGGTGTTAAAATAAAGTGTAGCCCCTTGACTACAAGTGTGTGTAAATTTTTTTTGGATCGGGTCACCCCTTTGCGCGTAATACCCGAAATAGTTAGGCCACTTACTAAACAGTACCAAAATTTTCTCTTGCTCTCAATTTTACTCTCTATTTTTCTTTTACGCTCTCGCTGCAAGTACTTACTGGAAAAATTATTGAATGGACCTAACATAAAAAAATTATTATTTTTTGTTTTTGGTATTTTTTGCTTATGCCCGCGCGGGCAATTTTCATTTTTTGATCGCGGCCTGATATCCCTAGTCAAAATGAATCATGCCCGCGCGGACTGTGCTTAATTTTTTTGTCACGGTCTTAATACACGCCATAATTCACGGAGCAGCCTGTTGTTGTTGTTGTAGCAGCAGTACTCAACCCCCCGGGGTTTCGTCAAGGGTCGTCTTCGTCCTCTGACTCGACAAGCCTGAGGCCGAGAAAGCGGGCAGCGTCTATAGGCGCGGTCCATAGTGCTTCTGGTGTCAGGGTCGTGGGGTTAGAGGCGCATGCGAAGAGGTGTTGGGTGTTGTGTGGACCTTGCCCGCATGCAGGGCATGTGTCTGCCACTTCTGGGTTCAGCCGGGAGAGATAGCTGTTTAATCTGCGGCACCACCCAGAACGGAGTTGTGCTAGGGTGCACCTGGTCTCTCTTGGCAGTTCGGCTTCGTCGATGTTGATGGGTGGCGGTCGACCACCTAGAACGATGTTGTCGTTTCTGGTGCTGAGACTCGACCTGACTGCATCGGTGTGTAGGTGGTTAAGCGCCGCTCTGTATTTCTGTGCGTCGAATGGGTGGTCTACGCACGGCTCGACGTCGGATTTCCAGTCGTGCAGGTGACGTCTGACATGTCGGGGAGGCGGTTAATTTCGAAGCAGGGCGTTATTGGGGTGATTTCCACGGTAACATCCCACGAGGAACTGCTTCGATAGCAACGTGTTGTGCTCTTTCACCGCCAGCATCTGGCTTTCTTGGTGGAGGTGATGCTCGGACGACATGAGATGGCAACCTGTAGCCGTGCGTAGAGCTGCATTCTGGCATGTTTGTAAGTTTCTCCACTGCGTATCGCTGGTACCCGCCGTCCACACTGGCGCTGCGTAGTTTGCCACCGACCGGCCTATTGCTTTATACGTGGTGTGCAGGGTTTCTTGGTCGGCTCCCCAAGTGCTGCCGGCTAGTGACTTGAGGACTTTGTTCCTAGCTCGCATCCTTTCGCAGGTGGCTGAGGCGTGCGCAGAAAAGGAGAACGTGACTCCCAGGATTTTTGGGTGGTTGACCGTCGGTATTTTGTTGCCATCGACGTAAACGTCCAGCTCTAGCCAACTTCCTTTGTCCAGGTGGTGAACAGTGTGGCGGTGGATTTCGCGGCGGAGATGGTGAGGCTCCTGGCAGTGAAGAAATTTGCAAGATCGGTGAGATAGTCGCTGATTTTCCCGCATAGGCTGTCAATATTGGGGCCCGTCGCCATAATCGTGCAATCATCGGCGTAGCTCACCACTACTGGGACCGTCCTATCACAGGGTCGACGTTGGTTCAGACCCTCGCTTATCTGTGTGGTGATGGCGTTTAATGCAGTGGTTGTGCTGTGCATTTTGCGGAATCCGTGCTGGTGTTGGGCTAGTTGCAGATGCTTCGTTAGACTGGGGAGGAGTAGTGCTTCCATTGTCTTTGCCACTGGGGATAGGAGGGAGATTGGCCGGTAAGAGTCTCCTGCGTCCGCCTTCTTACCTGGTTTAAGGAGGGGGATGATCCTACCCATTTTCCACATCTCAGGGATGATCAGGGTGGACAGTGACAAATTGAAAGCTGCTGTGATGTACTCGACTCCCACTGGTCCTAGCTTTTTCAGCATCTGCATCGAGATTCCGTCGGGGCCTAACGCCTTGAATGCTTTGGCGTTCTTTACAGCTGCCTGCGTCTCTTCTGGTGTAAAGCACGTTGGTGTCTCGGGGGCGGAGTTTGTATGCTTTACGTAGCACACTGCGGCGGGCTTTGTCTCTCTCCGGGTGTGCAATAAACTGCCGGCTGAAAAAGCGCGCACGTCCGTGGGTCCGACGTGGTGGTATCGCCGAATGTAAGGGCAACGTTGTCCTTGCGTTTCGCCGGATGGGAGAGAGATTTTACTGTCGTCCACAGCTTGCTAGCTCCGCTGGTGAGATTGCAGGTCTTGAGGTGCTCATTCCACGTTTTCCGCTTGTGTTCGTTAACCAGTTTGTTAATGTCCAGGATTAGACTGGCGGATTCGATCACGCTCGTCTGCGAGTCCCGCCGCTTCAGCTGGGAAGCCCGGCGGATCCAAGATGGTCGGTTCTACGTTACCGGATTGACTCGGAGCACCCACTCCGACCAAGGACCATTACCCCAGCAGCAACCCCCCCCATTTTTTCGCACTGGGAGCATGACCTACCGGCAAGTCTGCTCCGCATACTACTGGTCCGCGCCGGCATAGAGCAAAACCCCGGACCATAGACATGCAGTGTCTGCAACCAAAATTTACACCACTCATCCACCTCAGTCTGTTGCAACAGCTGCAATAACTGGTGTCATCTGAAAGCATGCTCAGGCCTCCGGCACCATAGGGAGTGGAGTGCTAACTTTGT